GACTTTATTGTTGAGACATAATTTGGATGTGATGCATATAGAGAAAAACATCAGTGAAAGTGTGATAGGGACGTTATTAGATATTGAAGGAAAACCAAAGGACACATTAAAATCTCGATTGGATTTACAAGAGTTGAAAATTAAAAAACCCCTTCATACAATAAAAAATGAGAATAAATACATACTTCCTCCAGCAAGCTATACAATGTCTAAAACCGAGAAGATTCAATTTTGCCAGCTAATCAAAGAAGTCAAGTTTCCTGATGCTTATGCTTCTAACATTAGTCGTTGTGTCAATGTTAAGGAAGCAAGAATTTTTGGACTTAAAAGTCATGATCACCATGTTCTTTTTCAACGTATTTTTCCACCTATAATCAAGGGGATTTTGCCAAAGGATGCATATGATCCATTAGTTGAACTATCATTATTCTTTAGCGATTTGTGCGCTAAAGAGTTGCATGTGGAAAAGTTAGATCAACTAGATAAAAGTATACGGATGACAATTTGTAAATTAGAGCGTGTGTTTTTGCCAACATTCTTTGATGTTATGGTTCATTTGGCAATACATTTGGCAATGGAGGCAAAATTGGGTGGTCCCGTTCAATTTCGATGGATGTATTACATTGAAAGGTTGGATTCTTATTCCTCTAAACTATTCCTTTAGCTGCCCTTTTAGTTAAAATTTGTTGCAAAACTGATATATTTTTACGTCATAGATTTTTGCGCACCTTGAAAAGTTATGTACGAAATAAAGCCCACCCAGAAGGATCAATTGCTGAGGGATATCTTGCTGAGGAATGCATGACATTTTGTTCCAAATATTTGACTGATATGGAGACAAAGCAAAATCGTCCAGATAGAAATTTTGATTCTTCAAATATAGAACCCAATGGCTTATCCATATTTAATTGTCGTGGTAAGCCATTAGCAGGGGGTGCTTGGATAAACTTGAGCACTCATGAAATCAATCAAGCTCATTTTTACATCCTCCAAAATTGTGAGAAAGTCAGACCTTGGATGGAGTAAGATACCTTTCACTTAGTTTACATCATTTTATTCTTATGAAACTCTCAGCAACTCTGTTCTAATGTTATTTGTTTTGATTTTTATTAAATGCTCATAATCCATAGGCAACACTTAGAAATATTAAGGAAGGAGAATAATAGAAATGTTTCAAGAGGCACAAGGAGGAATTCCCTTTGTGGTTTGAGAAAAAGGTAAATTATATCATTTGATGCTAGTTTACTTTTGTTTAGGATAATTTATAAATTATATTTTTTAAGTAGTATTAATGTTTGTGAGTTTGTAATTGAAATATTATAGGTGGTAGAGTTAAAAGAAAATGGTAATGGCCGAATTACCAATGGATTACTAGCTTTGGCAAGACGTCCAGACCCTCGTGCTTATTGCCATAGTGGATATATCATGAATGGGTTTAGGTTTCGAACAATGGAATCTGAGGTAGGTTTGAAAACTCAAAATAGTGGTGTAGTTGTGAAGAGTGATGAACATACAGAAAATGTTGATTATTATGGAAAGATAAGAAAGATTTTAGAGATCCAATATTTGGACAATAATTCAGTCATATTATTCCAATGTGATTGGTTTGATGTTCCTACTCAAGGTCGTAGTCAAAGTAGAGGTTATAAAAGGGATGAATATGGATTCATATGT